TCCACCTCAGATCCAACGTTGTTGTTAGGAGTCTAGAGCTGTTCCCCTCACTTTGCACTCCTGCCAGATTCTAAATATTGTTTCTGTATTTCTCGTATTTTCCATTGAGTGTTAATTATACTTACAGTAGCTTATAGTAGTTGCAGATCCAATCAACAAATAGTTTTAACTACATGCACAGTGCTGTATTTAGGCCTTTAAAAAAACCTGAATTGAAAATAACTGAAACAGATGTAGATTTCATCTTGCAATTAAACAAAAAATTGAATTCATGTCTATCTGTTTTAAGTGATACCTAATAATATTTAACCGTTTAAAGGAGAAATTGGGAAATGACCATGATTTTCATTCTGACTCTTTAAAAACTGTCTTTAAGAACATTTTAGGAAAAAAAAAACAATGAGAAATGACTTAGAAGACCATGAGTTTGTGAGGGCAGGTTGCAATTCCAGTAATGTATCGTCTGCATACCGTACATTTTTTCTTATCGAATTAAATGAAAATTAAAAGCACTGTGTCTGAAATGCTAAGTTTATTTTCCCTACTGGTTACACACACATAAGGTTGCATTTTAGTAATTCAATCTCATTCTCTTACATAGGCCAATTCTCCTGGCTGCTGTGCTGTGTAAGGATCTTAGTGGATTTATGGTAATGTGAGTAAGTCTGGCTGCAGGTGTAGTCTACATGAGTTAACACCATAATAAGATTGAAGTAGCTACATTACTGACCTTGCATGGACTAACATACTCCTCCTGCATCCTGCATTTAATGTGTGGAATCTAGCTTACTGGAGAGGGCACTTACAAAAAAATGCTTTGTATGAATTCCCAAAGGCCACAGTATGTGCTGCTAATGTTTGTAGTTTACGGAAGATTGGAATGAATAGCAGTATTCCCGTGACATTTGTGAGCTTGTACCGAGGTATTTGTGTCCAGCCAGGAAGCTTTACTAATGTTGCAACAGGGAAATCCTCGAAAATAAGCCACTTGATAACCTAAGTACATTCTAACTTGTTTTGTTCCTCCATGGTGGTTCAAACTAGAGTGCTACTATCCAGTAATGGTGGGTTTGAGTCTAGGTCACCTCATTAGTAAACTTTGACTGGTGGCATCCACGTGGGAGCACACTGGACTATCTCTGCACCTTGTGACCCTTGTCTCATCCTGCTAGCTGCTGCTTGCTACTGTAACTTGCTGTGAGACAGACTTCTTTCAACACCTCCTGTTGACATTGATCCTCTGGTATGGGGCTATTGCGATTGTGACATGTTAAAGGATGTATAGCTCAAAGCCATGAGCCAGGGGGTGAAATACACACAACTGGTGATTCCAGATTCTAAGTATAATGAAAAACTATAAGAAGGGTTACAAAGAAGAGGAGGCCCATCTAGCTTGTTCGTTAGTTAGTATCTAATTGAGCCAAGGCTCTCATCCAGACTTTTCTTGAAAGAAGTTAGGGTCTCAATAGTATGGCTGCATACTTCACCTCCCCAGCCCTTTGTATTAAGAAATGCTTCATGGTTTTAAATACATCTTCACATAGATTCCACTTTTTATTATCTGTATTTGTTTCACTGTTTATTCTAAAGAAATCCAGTTGATGTTGTTGAAACCCTTGAGGATTTTAAATGATTTTATCAGGTCCCCTCACAGTCTTTTCTGTTCTCAACTTTCTTTTCCTTTCAATATTAACAAGTTAGTATTGGATCTTGTTGTACAGTATGGTACATGTGCAGTACTGTCGCACATAACGGTGTCACAGGGTTTCAAAGGGATTCCAGCTGCCAAAGGCTTGGAGGTTACACTGGTAACAAGTAACACCATGGCTCACAATGAAAGGGCTACAGAGGATGCAATGATACAGCTTAGAATTTTGTGTAAACCCACTGAAATTTTGTTTATGAAACCTGTAGCTATACTATAACACGCAATACAATCCATTTCTTTATGCAGAGTTAGCAGTTTTGAACTTTTAGACTAAGTTTTCTGAAGTTTTCAGATTCCATCTATAATATCACAATTGGCTTTTTGTGCAGCATTACTTTTTTTTCTCATAAATTGCATGTTATAAAGTGTTAATTTTTTAACAACTCATAATTTATCTATTAAAACAATAGGTTGAGTCTGGAAAGCACATTAAATAAGACGATTGTTCCAAGGCCAATCTTCACTCATTGTGTGTTTAAACATAGCATTTCACTTGCTCAGTCTATTTATTTGTTGCTGCATTTCCTTTGGCTCTTGCTGTTATGTACAGAGGTTAGTGTGGGTTCGGACTGCAGGACTTTACAAAGAACGAGTGATTAAAAGCAGTGAAGCTGTTTTTTTTTCTAAGGTCTGGTACTGCTATATATGACCCTCTCAATTAATATGAGGAGGCATCTAAGAAGGTAACTGTATTGTAGTACAATACAAAGCTTGTACATGATGACTGATCAGATATTATGGTTTTGATTGATGAGATTTGATTTTGATTTAAGTCTTCTTTGACAAGTTGCTTATAAATTGCATACTGTAAATGTCTTGGCTTATGTTCGGTCTGATGTGCAGCAGAGAATAGGCAGAAGTTCACTTTCAGGCTCCAGCACTGTTCACTATTTCAGTTAGGCTCTAATCTCTGTGTGGATGTTTGTCATTTTCTTGACCTGAATTGAATCTTGATAATATTTTTTTAAGTTGACTATAAAAGGCAGTGTGATATGAAGAGTTTAAAAGTAACATTGACTTCAGAAACAACAGATGAACAGAACGCCACTGTTTAAATCGTTATTGGTCAATGGGTGTAGAGACAGTGAGTCTTTTTTAGAAATTTAAGACTATAGCACTTCTGTCTGCCTCACTGTTTCTGGATTGCTCTGGGACATAAATATGAGTTATGTATTTATTCTTCCAATGTTCTAGTGTGTGTTGTTTGTGCTTTGAAACAGTGTTCAAGTCACTTATAAATTCACATGAATCACACAGGGTCCATTGGTCTGCAGGCAACAGCATGCATATTTAATTATTGACTCCCCTTGAATGCTATTTATTCAAGAGGATAGATTTATTCAAGAGGATAGTTTTTTTTTCTTGAGTCAATAGTATTTCTTGTAAAAGTTTGAAAATAAGCAACACATTCCTCTAATCTAATATTCATTTTAAAATCTTGCTCAAAATCAAAATAAAAAAATTAAATGTGAAAACTTTGCTAAATCAAGAACTTTAGATAACTGACATCTGACCAGTACAGTCCGTAAAACGTGACTGGGTAATTCTTACATCTCTGCTGCCAATTTAGTATTCTATCAAGACAAATGAATTTCCATCCATCCATTTTCAAACTGCTTTATCCAATTCGGGAGAAAATCGCAGGGGATCCAGAGCCTATCCTAACAAGCAACAGGCACATGGCAGGATACACCCTGGACAGGATGCCAGTCCATTACTGGGCAGACAGTCCCAGACACACACACTCACACCTGGGCCAGATTTCACAGAAGCCAATTAACCTTCCAGTACTTTATGTCTTTGTGAGGAATCATGTGAGGAAACTGGAGCAGAGGGAGATAACACACACAAACATGGGGAATACTTACAGACTCCATGCAGATAGCACCCCAGGTCTAGACTTAAACCCAGCAACCCAGTGCTGTGAGGCAGCAATGCTAACTACTGTGCCACCCCCAGGATGAATTTGTTTCTAAAAATGTCTGCTTTCATCTCCAGCACTAGTTTTGTACTGAACATCCAGCTGAGGTCTTTTTTCCAGATAACTAATGCACTGAGCTATTTTTTTACTTCCAGTCATACTGTATGCAGAAATTAGCCTTGTACTGGTTTTCAAAGATGCAAGATGGTAAAAAAAAATCACTGCACAGAAAAGAGAGAGTGAAAAAACAAAACTTCATGCATTGCATGATTTCTGTAAGCCTTAAGGGACTATGTACAAAATTTGTTTTTCACACCAGCCTGAGCTGTTTACCTTAGCAGCTCAGAAGTGGGTCAACACACAAAGCAGGCAGTTGTATGGGTAGAAAGGGCAACTTAGTTTGGAGATGACTTCATCCACAAGAAATGCAGAAGCACAAAAGGATGTTCAGCTCCTTCAATAACAAGTGTGCCAGTACCCACAGAAATTAGACCGGACTTCAAGTCTTTACAGAGCCTGAAAGAGCTCTCTGAACTCCCTGTGTATGTTTAAGTAATATACAGTCTAGGAGTAGGGGTGTTGTATCAATGGAAAGAGGCAGTGAGCCTTTTCTGTCATTTCCACATTATGCAAGTTCAACGATTGTTATTTATATTGCTGTGATGAATTGAATCTTCTATTAATTTTATAGTAGTGCAAAATACATGAAGAAGTTCTATACATGAGATGGTCAAAACATACTGTAGGTCAGAACTGTTTTCCCTGCATATTCTGATGAGCTCGTACTCTTCACAGAACATCTTTACATTTATCATAGCTTAAAAAATATTTAACATGTTTTTAAAAATCTCTTAAGTGTTAATTGTTGAATTCCAGAATTAGAAGTATAAATGGAAAGCAAAGGTGTGATAAAGAGGTGCCGATTCTACTGTTTCAATTAATACAGGTGAGGTATTTCTGGAAGCAAAATTAACTGAAAGTTATACACGTATTGTATGTACTCTTTTGTTATTCCAAAGAAATGTAAAAAAATATTCTCTTACTCATTTTTATTGTGTCTTGAATAGCCATGATTTAGATCTTTAATTTATAGTCTGGGATCCAGCATGATTAATCAAGTAACTCTGCTGCACTGTGCAGTTATAGGTGGTAATGTAAACAAAATTAGTATAATTTCTTACTGTACACATACACAGTATACTGCATGCGCAGGACAGGAATTCTTTGTAATCAAAGCTGTGGTATTTAGTATATATTCTTTGAAGATTAGAAGATGGGTTAGTCTGGTGCACATTTGGTAAATTTTATCTTTACTATAATGTGAAGATTTGGTCCTGTAAAATGTTTTTACACTTGCTTGATATTTTTCAGGGGGAAGTTTGCAGTTGTTAAGAAGTACATGAAGAGGAGCACTGGGAAGGAGTATGCTGCTAAGTTCATGAGGAAGAGGAGGAAGGGCCAAGACTGTCGCATGGAGATCATACATGAGATTGCGGTCTTGGAGCTGGCCAGGTTCAGCCCCCGCGTCATCGACCTTCATGAGGTGTACGAGACGGCCACAGAGATGATCCTCGTGCTGGAATAGTGAGTCAAAGAGACCATCAGGGACAAGCTAAAACAGTCAGGCTCCTGGTGGAGGAGAGAGAGTGTTGCTTAAATATGTCTCCTGATCTGTCCTGCATTTCCAGTGAACTAGTATACATACAGTATACTAGTTCACTGTGTGAGCCTGGTCAGTACCATAATGGGAGACCTCCTGGGAAAAACTAAGGTTGCTGCTGGAAGAGGTGTTAGTGGGGCCAGCAGGGGGCGCTCACCCTGTGGTCTATGTGGGTCCTAATGCCCCAGTATAGCGATGGGGACACTATACTTTTGGTGTCGTCCTTTGGATGAGATGTAAAACCGAGGTCCTGACTTTCTGTGGTCATTAAAAATCCCAGGGCGTTTCTCAAAAAGAGTAGGGGTGTAACCCCAGCGTCCTGGCCAAATTTCCCATTGGCCCTTACCAATCATGGCCTCCTAATAATCCCCATCTAAGAATTGGCTTCATTACTCTGCTCTCCTCCCCACTGATAGCTGATGTGTGGTGAGCGTTCTGGCGCACTATGGCTGCCGTTGCATCATCCAGGTGGATGCTGCACATTGGTGGTGGTGGAGGGGAGTCCCCATTACCTGTAAAAGTGCTTTGAGTGGAGTGTCCAGAAAAGGGCTATATAAGTGTAAGTAATTATTATTATTATTTTTATTATACAGTACAATCTTGCATATGTTTATCACAGACATTCACTACCTGTCAGTTTCTTTTAACGTTATGAATCCCAAAAACATATTGTCCAGAATTTGAACAGTCTTTGATTTATGGAATTTTAGCTAGATGTTAAATTTAGTTAAACCATATAAGAAGCAGCATAAATACATTACTGTATCTAATACTGTAACATATATAGACAGATAGGCAGCTTTAATTGTCCATAGTTTAGCAGAATGCAGGGCCTGCTGCATTGCCTCACATAGATGGTAAGTCTTATTTGTTCAGAGAGGAGGAGAATCCCAGTTGTATGAAATTAGGGACCCGGACAAGTTAAGTGATTCTTTTCAGTGCATGTTCAGTATGCAGTGTTAAAGGTAAAAGTGCTATATACTGTATTTCTTCTCAGCCCAAAGATATTTTTTCTATGCGTTGTACTGTAGAATAGTCATGGCATCGTGATGTGCTATGAAAGTAGCTTTTGCTTTTCTCCAGGCACAGTGTTGAATTGATTTTTTGCTCTCTTCATTTTTTTTGGGACACCATGTTGATGTTGGGTTGTACCAGTGTTCCCTAACAAAGGTGCTTATTCAGGAATCAGGATCTTTCATAATGGATCATTTAGGAGTAAACATTTTTGTGAGCATGAAAGAATAACAAATGTCACAAGACTTTTGAACTTAAATATGAATCTTAGAGGTCTTCTATTGCCATTCTGTAAATGGATAAACATACAGTATCTTGCAGAAGTGTTCATCTCCTTTCCATCATGACCCATTGTGTTGAAATACAAATAATGTGTACAGTACTGTATATCCACCCACTTTCTAGCTGTTTCTTCCAATTCAGGGTTGTGGGGGAGCCTATTACAGGGTACACCTATTTTATACCTTTTGTTTTTGGAGGCACAAAAAATCTGGAGGGCACTGTGTTTCTGAAGTGCTGCTGTATGTATTGAAGAAACCTCTTTCTAAAAATTAGATTAGTGAAGCACAAGTAGGCCTGAACACAATTTGCTAAAACAGATAGGTGGGATTTAGTAAGTCACATGCTGAGATTTCAGAAACACTTGTTAGGTTTCTGCAGTTTGTAGAGTTGTAGTGGTCTTGCACTCAGTAGCAGTAGCCATTTCTTCTTGATGATCCATTTTTGTATAAGTCACTTCAAGCTGTTGTAAATTCTGTGTAAAGTTGTGTTTGGGTAGTTGCTCCTAACCTCTGAATGACTTGATTCAGTAATTATTTATCCCAAAGAATGATACTGCTCTAAACAATTAACAAATCTCTATGTGCTCATTGTTGAAAATATTAATAATAACATTGCATGTGTGCCCAGTGAGCTTTTGAGGTAAAACGTAATCTGTTACTTTTCTCATTGTGCATCACTGTATATTCTAGTACTTTTATACTGAAGAATTTATACAAAATGTAAAGAACCTTGTTTAAATCTAAAATCCAATGCTTCTTGCAAGCTACACCGGAGTATGCTACAACCAGCAATCCCACTGGCCAGAGACCTGGACCTCAGTCCAGTAAGAAAGACTGCAGGTCAGTGTATGCAGGGGTCAGCTGTGGTATTTTAATCTGTGTCAAGAATGCATAGAACTGCCTTGGCCATGGAAACAGGTTAAATGGCTTTGTTTGGGGACGCTCTTGTTAGGAGCAGGCTGTCTCTGTGGATCTTTTGGTCATGGGAACAGAAGATGTTGAGCAGTTTCCCAGTGGCCCAGATGCTACATTCAAGCAAGGCCATGCCTACAGTACTGTAGGTGCCGCCATACCGGGTGACGTGAACTCGTCTCGCAGCATTAGGAATCCCTTTGGCTTTGGTTGCCTGATACTTTCACAGGGTTCTGTTTCTAAGCAGTTTTAACAAGACCCACTTCTCAGAGGACAGGCTGCCTCATTTCCTTTTCACATATGACTGAGAGCAAAAGAATGGCTTTGTGTATGGGAGTGAATTCAAGTTCATCAGCAGGGTCAGCCTCCAACCTCCTGGGGCCGACTCGTTCTGGTTTGTTTCTTCCTCTGTTTTTTAATTTAGATGTTGACCTCGCAATAGTTTAATGTGAGAAAGAAAATAGATTAAAAATACTTTGGGGGGGGGGGGGGGAGGTTAAGGGGTGAAATTTGTTAACCTCAGCGGCAGAACCCTGTAATATTTGGTACAAACTGAATAAAACTCTTTATTATCATGACAAAACATTAGAATAAATTATACTGAGTACCGTATATACTATAGTATGTCTGTTGTATATTTCTTAACTAAGCATTGCATCTCCTGCAATAAACAAGAGTATTATATTTTTCATTGGTATTCAGTGCCATTTATTCTATATGTGTCCTTTCTTAGGTACTTCTACCATCCTGCCTGATTCCTTACAAATTGGGCAGACCAGGTTCAAAACACACTATGCACTCTTCTACTAGGTACTTTTAACTGACTTCTTACACTCAAAAAAAATCCAAGTGTGAAATTCTGAATATCATAGTTGGACATAGTCTGACTGGATTTAATGCAGCTGTTTTATTTTGGTATTATTGGCAAATGCTGCACAACAGAGGTCTCACATTAGTCTGCATTTTGTTTTATACTGTGTTTTATACAGTATGTGCGTGCTCTTGATGTCTTGCCCATTTGCTGTAAGCCTAGCTTGAGCGCCACAGTAAATCTGCTTTTAATTAAACCATAATAATGCCTAAGGCAGAAAGCATTATTAGGGAGATAATTGATTGCTATGATGGATTAGAATGCAAAGTCAAATGTAAGAGGACTTTGCTAGAAGCATAAAGGCAATTTATTTGCAGGTATGGCGACTTTAATTGCCATTCTTTTCAAGACAGTTTTAACAGAAAGGAAACCATATGGTCTAAAGAGGCTTAGCTACTGCAGCAGCTGTGGTGGCTAAGACGGTGTAGTTTCCTGGTCTTGTTTATATTTTATATTTTACAATGTGCTTTAAAAATGCAAATGAAGGTGTTGAATACCAGAGTGGGGAAAAGCATGAAAAATGTGAGACAGAGGCTTTTTGGTGGCTGCAAAGAGATTTCCTTCATTTAGGGTAGGGCATGTTCTCTATTGCTGTTATAGGTACGAGGTAAATAATCAAGAGATACAAACAGCTAAAAATGGTGTTTTAATCCTTTCGTACTCCTAAATCTGTTGCATTCGTAGTCTCTAATTTCACATGGGTCATATAATCCTAATGGATTGGAGTACTTTCCACAGAAAAGAGGAAGCCACTGCTCTGCCCTGCAAATGTGAGTGCACCATAAAAACTGAAATTTAATAAAAAGGGACTTAGCCCAGGACTGAAGTGATCTCCTGCCAGTGGCTTTTGTCAGTATTATTCGAACAGATAATACTATGCTCTTGTACTTTGTGGGAAGTAGAGCAGAATACATTTTGCTTTTATGATGGTCTATCACGTGAAGTAAAAAAAAAAGTCTAATAGACTCGCGGGCACATTGATAGCTTATGGACACACTGTTTCCTTTCTTGGGGGTAGGGAGATGTGAATACAATAGGGAGAGGAGGAATTAGCGCGTTTGCTCAATTAACCCACTGCAGGCAGCTCTGAAGCAGTTTTTCAGTTAGCACAGAACTATGGCCTGGTTGCAGTGGTTTTCCAGCTGGCGGTTCATTATACCACTACGCTCTCCAGTGGCACGTGAGAGTCTGGACCGTGGCTTGTAACCGATTTGGCCAGAGGGGCTGAAGGGTCTGCTGTTCAGTCACATTAATCACATTAAACCAGAGCTGCAGTTATCGCCTTAGCTTAATTGACATTGTAATATTTTTGTGCTTTCTTACAGTAATAAAAACACTTACAGTCTGTTTATTATACAGTAACAGCAGTCAGTCCTTTGGCTTTGGTGGATAATTAGCCTAGAATCCAGAATAAAGTGTGGATTACAGGGCTCAGGGTTACGTGGGATCAAAGTCTGACCTCCTGCATGGGACTTGAGTTAATCAGAGCGCCTAATTAGGTTTTTCAAATTTGAAAGAGATGAAATACAGTATTGTGACTTACTGAACTAGTAAGTCAAATTTCCAATATTCTTGATTAGGAGTTCATAATATAGAATTTTTTTTACTAAATTTGTCTTTCTCTCTTATATTTTGTCTCAGTCCTACTTTCTTACAGAATTTGTTTAATTTTTATTGATGCTCTTCATGTAAAATGAATGTTGTTGGTCAAGATGAGCTGCTTATGATTAGTACTGTAGAAAACACAGTAAACAATGCTGTGTTTTAAATCATCACTGTGAGATAAAATACTTAAATATCAAAGACATTTGAAATACCTGTATAATTGAAAATTATAACAGTTTTT